TTTAAGTACATTCATAATTATGAAACCATGACCACCATCCTTCCACAGGCTTCATCTTGCAAAACTAAAACTATGGGCGTGACCAGTTAGCTCAGCTCAGTTGGCTGGAGCGTGGTGCTGCTAACGCCAAGGCTGCCGGTTTGATTCCCGCATGGGCCGCTGTGAGCTGCACCCTCCTTCGGCGAGTCAACTATGCCATTGTAGCATGAAAGCCATGTGTAACCAATGACCATGGCTGTTCCCCAATAAACAAATAAAAAATAAAAATGAAAAATAAAATAAATAAACTTAAAAAAACAAAAACCTGAAACTCTGTACCTATTAAACAATAACTCCCCCTCCCCTCCCCCAGCCCTAGACAAGCCCCATTCTATTTTCTGCCCCTATAAATCTGACTACTCTAGTGACCTCATATATGTGGAACCATATACAGTGTGTGTCCTTTTGTGACTGGCTTCTTTCACGTTGTGGAAAGTCCTCAAGCAAAGTTGTACAACTTTGGAAGGATCTGCTCTAGTCCTGTTTTCCCTATAAGTCTTGTCATTTTTAGCTACTTTTTGTACTTTACAGGATGCAAGGTTTTCCGGGACTACACACACCATGTTATTAGTACAAATGCCTCTCTACATGTCAATCACTCAGAATGCTATCTGGTGCTTAGCAAGCTCTCAGTCCATATTAGCCACAGTAATTACTGCTCAAGGTCTCCCAAGAGTGGGTCTGGGCTTGTCCGATTCCAGATTCTGTCCTCTGGTCCCTCGACAAACGGAAAAATGCAACACAAATGAGGGAAGTGAGAGATGCATTCTAAATGGGCTTCAAATGGTAAGGTCAATCCATAATATAAGATCAGTCTATAACATCAGCTGAATCTATAACCTGTTTGTAAATACCTATGAGGTTCTCAGTGAGAGAGGCAGCCATAAAAACCCTCCACTTAGCGGACAGTGAATTTGCAGATGAGTTAAAGTGACTTTCCTGAGGTCACACAGTTAACGCATGACTGTGCAGGTCTCAAACTCATCTCTCTGGTGTTAAAGGGCAGCTCAGCTGCTGGGGAACAAGGACCTCAAAGGACAGAGGCAAGTGTTTGACAATGGGCTCTCGGTGGGGGAGTTGGTTTGTATTCCCACCATGACCTATTGCAGACTAGCCACAGAGCTGGGGAGAGCTGTGCCCAGTGGGCTCTAGCCCGGCAGCAAGATGAGCTGGGAAGAGTCCTATACTAGACTGAGAAGACCTAGCCTTTCTCTAAAATGGGGACAACAATCCCTACCTCCTCTGCGCCTCTGGGGACAGCTTG